GATCCGCCCTGCTCTGTGCATGACAGGGCGCGGCACCCCAACTCCCCAATCAGCCCTGCTCTGAGCCCGACCAGGGGCTGCACCTAGGGATTGGGCCTGCCCTCTGCCACCCGGGAGCAGGCCTAAGCCAGCAGGTCGTTATCTCTCGAGGGGTCCCAGACTGCGAGAGGGCACAGGCCGGGCTGAGGGACCCCCCCCTCCCCCCCGAGTGCACAAATTTTTGTGCACCGGGCCTCTAGTTAATAATATCAGAACAAGTAGACTTTAAGGAAATGAATAAAAATGGAGAAATGCTATCATTTGATATAGAAAAAGGCATGATTCATAGGAAAGGTAAAATTTTCAAACTGGACAGATGAACATAGAAAAAATAAATCATAAAAGTTGGATGAAAAGTTCAATATTACACTGTACTTTACACTAAGACCCATTTTTGTACACTTTTATACCTCTGAAATTGAGATATGTCTTGATGTAACTTTTATTGCCCATACATTCTTGCATTTAGTCATAGATGCCTATAATTTTTTCCCACTTTAAGTTATCATCGGTGATATATGTGTTAAGTATAGTTGTCATTATTTTTAAGGTTATATTATTATTTGACATTGAGAAAATTATTGTGAATATCAAAAATTATTGAAGTGAAATTGATGCGGACTTTGATATTAGAGAAGCAAACACTTTATATTTGGAGGAACTAGTGCATTTTTCTATTTTCTTGCAAAGCAGTGGCCATGATTTATAGGAGCAGCAAAACAGACAAGCAGCAAAAGTTGTGCTAAAGGATGACCAATCACATACCAACAGCAGAATCTGCAGCAAGGGTATTAGCCACTTGGAAGAAAATCCCAGAGACAATAGTGCTGTGTTTGCTCCTGTTTGGTGGTGTTTGGTGATATCCACATAGCAAAGCTCTTGATGGCATAATCAATACACAGTGATGTGATGAAAAACATGGACATCCATAGTTTATGCCCCATGATGATGAAAAAACACTCAGACTCTAAATATGTTCTAAGGTTATTTTGAAGTATATATTGCAAATATTTAATTATGAACAATAATAAGGCATATTAAAATATATAAGTACATAAAAGAACTCTCTCTCTCTCTCTCTCTCTCTCTCTCTCTCTCTATATATATATATATATAATAAAAATTTAAGTGAAAGTATCATATCATAATTCAATTGGCAGAGCTTTCATTTCCTTAGTGGTGCATGAAATAATAATGCATTTCAGAGCTGAGGTCATTTTAGAATTGATGAAATGGGGTATAGTTTATTGGTTTTTTCTTCTCTTACTATCTTACTATCTAGAATGCATGTGCATTGAGTGTTGGACCCTACACTTAACTTCCTTCTATTTTCCCTTCTTAAATTTTAAAATATATCTTGAGCTTTTTCTCCTAGTTCCTTTATTAGGGAGGCAATAATGTGGTATTTTTTGCCTTTTGATCATTCCTTTTTTTCATATCAGTGTGTGTGTTTGTCTATGTGTGTGTAAGCATGTGTAATAACTTCTAGAATTAGCTAAAGATATTAATGAAGGTTTTTCATGTTCTTACCTAAATTGTTTCTTCCAGATCAACTCTGCTGAGTGTCAATATTTGTCCTGTAGTAAACCAATGAATAAAAGGTTTTACATTGAGGGGAAATATATTTAAATTTGTAATTTATAAAGATTATTTGGACTACTATATGGGGAATGAAATAAAGGGACCAAAAATAGGAACAAGAAGCCCAACTGGAAGATTATTTAATAGCCTTGACAACAGATGAGGCCTGTTCACACTGGATTGGTAGAGAAATATATGTAGGGAAGGGAATGTGGTGGAGTCATCTTTTAAAGAAGAAATCAGAGGTCCAAGTGTTGGACAGAATGTGTCAACATACATGTGGGGTTGGTGTGGAGAAGTAAAGTTATTGAAGGGTTGGGATGAGCAAAGGAATGGAAGGAGATGTGTTTCCTGCAATAAGGGACAGCTGAAGGGGATCAGGAGTAAGAATTTTTAGGTGGGATGGAGACCAAGAGTCCCATCTTGAACTTGTTAACATTGAGATTCCACCATTTTATTTCATGAAGACAGCTTCATAGGTGGGTCTGGAGCCTAAAAGACTGTTTCAGCTGGAGGAGAGGCCATGGGAGAGGCTGGGAAAGCAGGAGACCTGGGAAGAGAGTGTGCATTGAGTGTCCGTGGGACATCCTTCCTTATGCCAGTTATCTCAGTCTTGCCATGCTAGACTCTTCTCTCCTTGATGGTGTGAGCCCATTTCATAAATAACACATCCCGATTTCTGCTGCATATGCCAGTACACTAGATTCTGCAGATCTTTCTCCAGTTGTGTTTCTCTGAGTATTTTTCATGCTGCTTCTTTCCCTTTTGATCTGAAGTTGTTTTGCTCTATATGCTCCATGCTTTTTAAAATGTTTTTTCACATTTTTTAAAAAAATGTATAATCTGTTTATCTGAAAGGCAGATTAAGCTACAGAGCTCCAAATCCTTGACAAGTTTCTAAAAGGTAAATTGTCCAAATGTCTCACCTATTGACTGATCCTCAGGACCTCTCATACTGAGCAGTGTTTAAAGTTTTTAATTTTTTTAAAATTTTATTTATTTATTTATTTATTTATTTATTTACTTTTTGGGTTTTCTATCTTTCCTTTGATTCATAATATTTAATTCTATGGGCGTCAGTTTCTAGGATACACCACGCCTTCTCTAACCTTTTTGCCCAAGATTTTTATGGGATTTACAGTCTTTGTCTCTATCATGTCAGATAATGGCAGGCTGGATCTGCAGCTGAGGGGGTGGTAGTCTATGGTAGTGATGTGCCTTCCAGCAAGTCTATGTGAGCAGAACACAGAATGGATCAAAGACAACAAGACAAATACGAGGCCCAGCAACTAGTGACCTTGAACTTCAGTAACTAGGCAAAGGTAAGTTTTTAGGTTGAAGACTTCAAAAATTGGCTCTGCAGAAGCAGAGAAGGTAGTTGCTAACAATTCAGAAGTCACTAACTAGTTATATGACCTTGAACAAGTAACTTAAAGTCCTTTGGGTTCAGCAGCTCCTCCTTTGTAACATTAAAGGATTTGTTCAGATGATCCCTAAGTGGCTTCCAGCTCTAACGTTCTCTAACAAATGTACAGCACCAGGCTATTTGGGGCCACCCCCTTTACTTTCTGCCTTGTGAGTTTTCATTTTGTTACAAGCTTTTGTTATTTCAAAGATGACTTTTGTTGTTAGAAATCTAAGTATGCTCTCGTGTGCTTGTTATATCGATAACCTTTTTCATTTCAGTTCAAGACTTTGATGACAGTTGCCAGGGAGAGCATCGCCAAATAAAATCATGCGTTCTTGTTCTAACATTTGTTTCATCTTCATCTTTTGTCAGCGGAAATATTGCTATTTGTCATTTTAACATTTTTCAGTGACACTTCTTCCCTCACTCGGGGCCTTTGAAGATTTTCTCATCAGAATTAAGGCCTCCGCTAATAGTTCTCAGGGCTGCTGCTTGTGCCCCAGAAAGAGGTTTAGGCAAACCTGCTTGTGCTAACCAAGGTCTCTGGGCAATCTCCTCTCCTCCCCATAAAGAGAGCCAACATTCAATTAGGGGACCACAATTTGGAGGAAACAACTCCCTTAAGGCTTGGTGGCTTCTGTAGCCTTCCTGATGCTGATTGGAAGTTGGCTTATTTATATTCCAGACCCTCTATGCCTCTTCCCCAGGAGAGGGAGGCCCGGGAGCCCTGGGGTTGGGGGTGGGAATAGCTGACCTGGTTATCCCTTCCTGAGAAGCATAGCTGGCGAAACACCATAAAGCCCTTCAGCAGGGAGAGGCCTCGCTTATCCAGTGGGCCAGAGAGCTTTCCTGAAGGCACACAAAGAAAGTGTTCAAGTGGAATCAGGGCACAATGCAGGCATGTTTTCTGAGAAATAGGTTTGAAACCAGGTTTTCTTTTCTAGCTTGATATCAAGATTGTTCTGGTTGAAATCAGGTTTGTTCTAGAAAGCCCAGAATCTCTGATACTTCTGTTTTCAGGGGAGATTGAAGGTTGATTTCCATATGTTTAGGTAGACACCAGAGAGAAATACAAATGGTGATGAGTGGAAGGGATAAACATTGTTATTGCTAAGACTGACAAGTGATGGAGACCGGTTTGTTGGAAAGTCACAGTTTTGGTATTTGAATGGGAAGGGATTTTAAGAATAATCTAAACACCACTCTTTCTTTTATGATATCTAAGACCTATAGAGCTTGTATGGTTTGCCCAGCACCCTGCACATAGCCTTACACATTTTATAAATTTATTAACTGTTTTGAATGAGTGTTCTGGAGCACAAATCTTGTTGGTGGCAGTCCTGAATGATGGGTGTGGAAGAAGGGGAGGCATGAGACTCTACTGGTACTTGTACATAATATTTCAGCTGTAGTGAACGGGGTACTTTGGTGAATATCCCACATGGCTTCGTGTCCTCGTGCCCATGGGTATCAGTTAAACAGGGGGCCTACTCTCTGTTTCTTTTCATCATATGGAGCATCTTGCAACCCGGATAACTCAGGTGGTTCCAGATAAATGTAAGACAAGAGGTGCCCAGCTATCTGAATGTGATCACAGATCCACTGTCTGGCCTTCCCTCATACCGATGTGGTTAGGTTTCCCATTTTAGAGATGGAGGAACAATGTATTAATGAGAGATTTTAAATAATGCGCTGCAAATTGTACACCTAATAGTCAGCAAAGAAAGATTTAACCTTTTGGGTTGAACCTCCCATTGGAACTTCGCATGATTAGAAGCTACCTCTGTAGAATGCTGACGCCACACTGCTCAACACCTGCCTCCCCCTTATTTCTAAAAGGATAAGCAAAATTACTTATGTTCATTTCTGTACTAATCATGGTGGCCTCAATGGAATTTCTTATTGGACTCTGAGTCTGCACTAGAGACAAAATTTGTGTTTCAGAAGAACTGGTTGTAATTATAATTTTAAAAATTCCACCCACTTAGGGCCAGATCACAGATAGGCTGGCCACATTAACCATTCTCCCAGGTTGTAATTTCTCTCAGATGTTTAAAAACCAGACTGAAAACATTTCTAACATGATACCACTTGGTGTCGCTGTTAGCCTGTTGACCAAATAATGATTTCCTTTCAGTTTATATATATTCTAAACAAATGACAACTTGTTTATTTTAAAGAAATACTTTTGGGCTAAGCTGAAATAGATCTATCAGAGTTCAACTAAATGTCTTGCTTTTTAATATTATTTTTCAAAACATTGGGTTTATTTCAGTAGACACATTTCTGAACAAATAGATCTTCTCTAATTAAGAATAAAAAGCCTTGCTTATTGCATCCAAGTCATCTCAGTGTATTGAGCAGAAATAAAAGGACCAGAAGGAAATTCTTAAAAATGTTGTCAAAGCCAAATCAATGCAAAGTGAGTTGGAATATTTAGAGTTGATTTTTTCCAACTAGTAATTTGATTATTAGTACTGTTCTAGTTTTTATGATGCTGAAGATGTAAGCATGTGGGTCCACTGAGGTGGGTAAAAAAAAATATTGATTGAGTACTTATCATATGAATATTTTTGTTAAGTGATTTGCATTTATAAAGTCTAATCATAATCATTATGACCATTTTAATTCTTTAATATTATGCAGTTAACAAAGCACTTATTTTAATGACTCCCATTAGGCAGAGGGAAAATGTCAAAAAATACTCAGGGAAACCAGAAACAAAGAAGACACAGGAGAAACATCCATGAGTTATACTCCCTATTATTATGGATTTATAAAAGTGTACCCAAGTTCATTAGACACATCTTGATATTTGACTGCACATTGTTCCTAGTACTTGCTAAATTCATCATATTTCTTCATGGTTAAAATATATATATTAATAATGAAGACAAAAAGAAAAAGAAAACTGTCTCCAGTTTTTCAAGTCTAAGGATTATAACCTTTATTTAAGAGCAAATACCAGCTGGGTGAAAAGTCAAGGCCAACCAACATGCATGAAGGTCAACTACATCATGATTACCAAATCTTTATGTAAGTACTGATTTTGCCTTGAGGTCATACCTGCATAGCAAGCTACCTAGTCTTTGAGAGTGTTTGGAGGTATTTCAAACTCAGCATATTTCAAAGTAAAGACATTTTCCATCCCTATATCAGCTGCATCCCAACCAACCCCATCTTATTTGCCCCCTGCGATTCCAAGAGCACCATCATCCACCCCATTCTTCAAGCCAGAAAGCCTGGAAGTCATCCTGGACTTCCCTTTTCTCCTGTCTCTTATATCCAGTCACTCATGTCTTCCTGTTTGTCCTCTGGATACTGATATCTCTGACAATTTGTCTTCATTTCTGCATACCCTAGTTCAAGTTCTCATCATCTCTTTCACAGAAAAGGACTATTTCCTAACTCTTGCTCCAGTTTTTTCTCTACTCTGTCCTCCAGATTGTTGCCAGAACCAGCCAAGAAAATCTAATCAAGTCACACTTGTGCTCAGAATTTCCCAGTAGCTAACCATTAACTAGAGGTTAAAATCAGAAAGCACTTAGTATCTGCTCCCTGTGTAATATTACAGTACTCTGTTACGATTTATGCTATGGCCACACTGAACTACCCAAAAAGTCCTCAAGGAATTTTGAATTTAAGTGTGATTTGATGGAGAATAGACTTGCACCTCAACCCCGCCAATTGCCACACCACTAAAACTTTATTTTGGGGAGAGCTTTGGAAATTTGAGTTGGGCTAAAAAATCCTCAAAAATGAATGATTAAGTAAATATGTGAATGCATGTGAAATGATTTGGGAGTATTAAGATTTATTAGTTTATACATAAATTTTTAGTTAGCCAGCTATGCAGCTTCACTATACAGAGATGAATCCTCTGTCTAGAGCAGGGGTGGGCAAACTTTTTGACTGAAGGGCCACAATGGGTTCTTAAACTGAAGCGAAGGGCCGCAACACAAGGATGGATGTGGTGTTTGTGTGAACTAATATAAATTCAAAGTAAACATCATTACATAAAAGGGTACGGTCTTTTTTTTTTTTTTTGTTTTTTTTTTTTTTTGTTTTTTTTTTTTTTTAGTTTTATTCATTTCAAACGGGCCGGATCTGGCCCGCGGGCCATAGTTTGCCCACGGCTGGTCTAGAGTCTGGGGTATGGCAAGAGGACCCTGTAGGTACCCTGCACTTTCTTCACAAGGTAGCTTAGGGCCATTGCCGGGAGGAAATCTGTGTAATTCTGGCTGCTATAGGTAGCTGGATAACCTTGGTTAAGTTATTCTACTTCGGTTTCTCCTAAGCAAAGTTAAAATAGCAACATTAACCTACCCCCCGCAGGCATGTTAATAAGTACATTTTCCCCCAAAGTGCAATGTACGAATTTTCATTAGTCATAGGGCTACGATAATAGTTAATTGTCTCTAGTTCTGCTTGTTATTTACTGCTCACTCAAGCAAAAGATGCTACTGAAGGGACTGAGGGGGAAAAGTTGCAAAAGATGCTGATATGCCAAATAAGTTGCCAAGGTAATAAAAAATGTAATCAAGACTGCAGAAGACCTTCTGATTTCCATCCCAAGCAATCATTAGAGATTCTATTGCAAACTAATTTTCTTATCTCTTATCTCCAAGTCAGCTCCTCTGCCAAGGACTTAAGGACTCAATTTATCATCTCCCTTAACAGGTACCTTGGCTGCCAGTATGCCTTGGCTCTGGATCTACCCAAATGATTTAAAGCAAAATTGATTCTGACTCACAGTATATATGCTCTGGGTTTTAAATGCAAATGCATAAATGCTGAAGTAATAGACGATGCAACACTTATACTGTGGATATACAACTTTTGCTCTCCCAAGCTCCTCTTCCGAATGACTAATATTATCTCTAGAATCAACCAAAATGCATCAAATATTCTTTTTTTCTCTCTTATCAGGATATGAGAAGAAAAAGATAAGACAAAGGAAACATAGCATGAAGAGTCTCCAGAACATCAAATATCAAAGCAGCTTAGCAAGGTTTTTATGTAGGTTACTGTCTATTTCAACACTATAAAGATAATTTTCCCAAACCTGCCACAGTCTGACTCCTCTCAAGGCTGGGCCCAGGGTGCATGGAGTCAAGTCCGGACACAGCCATTGCCTTTGCCAGTAATTGCAGAGTTGAGGGGAGGACAGTTCCCAGCAGGCCTTGGGCATGGTTCTAGTGAATAATTCATCAGGATGGCCACTGGCTGGGGAATATCCTTCTTCCACTGATTACTTGCTTTTTATCCACACATTTATCTTCATTAAAGTCTTTGTTTCCTCTCTAATACTTGTCTCTAATTTTTCCCACTTAAAGCTATTTTTTTTCTCCTGGCTTTGAGTTTTTAGATACACTCTTCTTTCTTTCTTTCTTTCTTTCTTTCTTTCTTTCTTTCTTTCTTTCTTTCTTTCTTTCTTCTTTCTTTCTTTCTTTCTTTCTTTCTTTCTTTCTTTCTTTCTTTCTTTCTTTCTTTCTTTCTTTCTTTCTTTCTTCTTTCTTTTTTTCCCATACTAGTACTAACCACAAATTTCCAATGCAATGAAAGCTTAAATCCTCAGATTACTTTCACTATTGAGATTTAACCAAATGTCACAATGTTGGGTCCCGACATCATTACTATAGGGTACAGACTAATGGAAATTAGACTTCCAATAACTATTCTGACCCTTCACTAGAGATTTCTTTTATGTGAAGATAATGATCAGTCTTTCCTTGCCAAGGGCAGGTTTCAACGTACATAGCTAAACTTCTAAACAAGTCATTCAAAGTAATTTTTCAAGTGAATGTTTGATCTTTTACATTCCAAATTTATAAAAATATATATGTTCTTAGTCAATGTAAATTTTATTTTCCTTCTCTCTGCATTTCAGTTGTATTGAGGGGGAAAAAATAAAGGATTTTTTATATTGTGTGGTTTTTTTTTAAACAAATATAAGCTCATGATTATTATGAATCTGGTGCCATGATCTTTTTGCATGTACTGCATTCTAACCTTATGATTTTATTAATAATTAATATAATTCATGAAAAAATTCCCCCCTGGCAATTTCTGAGTTCATTCTTTCTGATCTTTTCCTGAAGCTGGACACCATGCTGCCAGTATCTGATCTATTATAAGAGTTTGAAATGCCATTTTAAGTTAATTAAGTTTATTGACTAACTAGAGGCCTGGTGCACAAAATTCGTGCACTGGGGGGGGGGGTCGTTGTACCTCAGCCCAGCCTGCACCCTCTCCAATCTGGGAAATCCCTCTCACAATCCAGGACTGCTGGCTCCCAACCACTCGCCTGCCTGCCTGCCTGATTGCCCCTAACCACTTCTGCCTGCCAGCCTGATCACCCCCTAACCACTCCCCTGCCAACCTGATCAATGCCTAACTGCTCTCCTGATGGCCTGATCACCCCCACTGCCCTCCCTTGCTGGCCTGGTTGCCACCAACTGCCCTTCCCTGCAGGCCCAGTCATCCCTAACTGCCCTCCCCTGCCGGCCATCTTGTGATGACATAGGGGTGGCCATCATGTGACCACATGGGTGCAGCCATCTTGTGACCACACAGGGGTGGCCATCTTGTGATCACATGGGGGTGGCAGTGATGGCTAATTTGCATATTACCTCTTTATTATATAGGATTTATTATATAGGATTTCCTTAATAGCCTAGGGCCATGGTCGGCAAACTGCGGCTCGCGAGCCACATGTGGCTCTTTGGCCCCTTGAGTGTGGCTCTTCCTAAGCCTGAGGAGTACCCTAATTGAGTTAATAGCAATGTACCTACCTATATAGTTTAAGTTTAAAAAATTTGGCTCTCAAAAGAAATTTCAATTGTTGTACTGTTGATATTTGGCTCTGTTGACTAATGAGTTTGCCGACCACTGGCCTAGGGCATTTGTCATTCAGACCTATTGCTTAATATATGTCCATTTTCCCCCCAATAATTTTCCCACTTATTCTTTGTAAATAGCAATTTTTACACAGTCTTTATTAGTTTCTAATTGTTCAAATTTATTTTCTTTATTATACCTGCTAAAGACCAATTTTAAAAAGAATTCATTTTCCCTGCTATTTGAGAACTGATGTTCTTTGTTTTTTACAGGATTTACATTATTCCAGTATATATTGCCTTTGGTTTGGGAACAGCTAAAAAATCCTTTGTTTGTATTTAGCATATTCCATAAAAACTAAAATTAGGCATTTTGAGAAAAAAGATTTTTTTCTTCATTATGAGTTATATAATAACATTTCATCTAAATCTTATTAAATAAAACTTTCAACAGTTTTAGCTACTGAAGCTCGTAACTCACTCAGCTTTTGTTTTTAACACATCTTACTGCCAGTCAGATCAGAATGCTTTATGCTCACATTCACACTAGGAGATTTTCTTGCCACCTACCTCAGAAAATTTGATCCTAAGTAATGACATTTTAATTCTTTAAAAGTGACTTAGGCAATTATTGTAATGGAAAGTTTTTAGTCTTTTGTATTTAACATTTTTTTTCACCTGTAGCTTTTGTCTCTATCTTAATACATGCATTCAAATGTTTAAAATCAGATGTTTTAGCCCTGGCAGGTTTTGCTCAGGGGTTAGAGTGTTGGTCCTTGGACTGAAGGGTCATGAGTTCAATTCCAGTCAAAGGCATGACCTTGGTTGCAGGTTTGATCCCTGGCCCCCTGTGGCCACTTGCAGGAGGCAACCAATCAATATGTCTCTCTCATGTCAATGTTTCTCTCTGTTTCTCTCTCTCCCTCCCTCCACCCTCTCTAGAAATCTATGGGGAAAAGTCCTCTGGTGAGGATTACCAACAACAAAAAAATCAAATATTTTAAATTTAATATGTATCCACAAAATTATGTTTTTACCGCCCCCCTTCTCTTATGAGTTTGTACAGGATAGCGGGCAGAGTCTGAATACAAAAGTCTGACTTTCACATATGAAGTAGCAGTCTCCAGAAAACCTTATTATGTCCGAGTGTAGTCAATAAGGTTTACAATAGTGCTAAAAATGATGTCACACCTCAGAAGTCTAAAAACAGAACACGCAATTATAAAACAAAAAGTATCCTTTTCAACTATGTTAATTTCTATCTCTCAGAAACTATGCAAAGGGAATTGGGCCACTCCCAAACTGCTCTTCTTTCCACTTTCCAATTTCAAGTGTAGCTGATGGATGAATTTCCTTCCCTCGTGGGACACCAGAGTCCCTCCCTTTTGGCTGCAAGTCAAATGCAGGTCTCTCCTGGTGTCTTTTGTCAGAACATCAGGCCCCCTCCATTTCTATTTTCACCCCCTGATTTAAGCTTGTCCTCCTTGCCCATGCCGCCTCCTCCCTCCCCTCCCATCAGCTCCCTGGGCTCCCTCCTGTTTCTTCCTCGTGTTCTTACTCCCACAGCCCCTCTGGCAGGCGGGTGTCCAACCTTCCATCTGGAGGAGCAGATTCTGCTTTTCTCACAGTTTCTCTCAGAATTGACAGTTTCACTGAACACAAACAAAAAGCCCCAAACTAAAACCAAAACAAATAAATAAAACACTATCTCGCTTTCTCTGTCATCCACTCAACAGCTGCTCAAGACTCAACAATTTGATGTTATTGAAAAGCTTCAAGTCCCAATTCTTTAGGTTGACACAGTCCCCAGGACACGTAGTCAGAATCCTGAGGGCACATGAGACTGTCAGAGTGTGGCCGGCTGCATTGAGGGTATGACTCTGTCCCCCTCGATGTCACCTGTTGGTCTACTCTCATCATTCTGTTATTTCTGTGGAGCTGCTGAAGCTACTAGTGGAGAGTGATGGGCTGTTCTCCTACAGATTTTCAGATGAACTCTCATTTCTTCTTCCTTAATTTCTTGTGTCTGTTCCCAGCCCACAGTGTCTTCTTTTCATTCTCCTGACACCTTTCAGAGCCTTGGAGTTCCTGAGGATAGGTTGGTCTATGAGGGTGTGACGTCTATGATGGTTGGTTACTACCTGGCTTCCAGCTAGATATTCCCACATTGCTTCCAAATTGTGGAACGAGAAACCCTGGCTGAAACTTTACAATCATGTACGACACATCAGAAGCATTTCATCTGGGCTCAGAAAGCCTAGGTGACAAGGAGTGTGTCCTCACTCAAGAGCATGGAGGTTTCACTCTTCTGATCAAAGTAGTGCAACTTGGCCCTTTGGGTCTCAGTGCTTCTCACGTGGAATCAGAGTGATTTGTAGTGAGGCCAGCCCTCCTCTGACAGTGTGGAAGGACTGTGAGGTCTGTGAAAGTGTGAATCCCCATTTGATTGTAAAAAGCATGCCTAGAGTGGCGTACAGGGAAAACTTTTGGATTGCTATTAATATCTTAGAGTGTTTGGCAGATGCGTTATTTCCATAGATACCACAGGCATAAAGTGGGTTAGGTACTCTTTCATGCACACACTGGATGCTAATGCTGTTCTAAAATAGGGAAGAACTGTTTGTGATGAGTTAAAAACAAGTACAGGATGCAGGAGCTAATGCTGAGAGAAACCAGTGTATAGTGGAGTAGGGAGCTGATCTCCATAGAAAATAGAACCTGCTCTGGGTGTTACAGGAAAGCCCAAATTAGTTCTAAAACATGATGTCTTGGAGAAACATAGTCAGGCTGAAATTAGGATGTGTGGTGGTCTACTGGGGGCTACTGGAAAGGGGGTTATTTTGACTGCCCATCACCTCCAAACCTTCCTCCACCCACATGCTTTTCCCACCTTTGGTCAGATAATTCTAACATTCAGTGAGAGGAACCAGAATGACCTCTTGAACCCAATAAAGGTGCTCCTGCATAAGTGCACTCCCTCCTCCTCTCCATATTCCTAGGGAAGGTTTACCTCTTGATACAACATGTGGCTCATAGCCAAATTCTATGTAATCCAGTCACCCTGGTATTTAGGCCACACCTCAAAGGACAGCTGAGTGTGTGAGCCAAGGCTATCAAGATTCTAGAACGCTTTGGCACTGGGTCATGCCCATATTGGCATGGAGTGACAATGTTGGAGCATCACACTGAGGAAGAAGGATCATTCTCTCTCTAGCATCTAGAGGACTCTTTCTAGGCCAGAAATTTAGTGAGTCCTCAGTCACTGGAGCTCCTGAAACTAACAGCCACACATGTCAGCAATGGCTATAATTGAGGAGCACATGAGCCCGCAGCATTGAGCGTGCTTTTCACTTTTTCTCTTTGCAGGGGCACCAGTCAAACTGACCCTTTGCATTTAAAGGAACCCAGGGAAGGTGTCCATTGTCTAGGAAAGAAAAGAAGACATTGTTACAAAATGGGAACTGGACTTCAGAAATACTTAATCAAAGTAGTAAATGGGTGACAATTTATTGTACTGCTCAAGACATTTGAGGGAGTAAGTCATTAAAATAACTTGTTCCTAATAGCTTTCTTCTTGTGTAGTGCTTGCAAAAAAAAGAAAAAGAAAAAAAAAGAAATCATCCTATTGTTTTATGAAATAATATTTGAGGTTTTATTTCAATATTTTGTGCTAGCAAATTCCCATATCTTTGCACTGAACCTGCCTTACCAAAATATTTATTATTGTAGATTATTAAATGAAATTGATAAGTTAGTTCTTTTTACAAATGAATAACAAAATGCAGACACTGGCAAAAGGGAACATTTATAGCTTCAGTCATTGCTTAATCTAGGTTCTCAATGGGTTTCATCAGAGTTCAGTTTTTCTCCATGTCTAGGCTCTGCCTTCAATTGGGTAGCCTTCATTCTTCGATTTCACATGGTGGTCCCCAACATTTCTAGGCTCATATATTTCCATATTGAAGTCCACAGATGCAAGAACTTCATTATTTTCTAATAGTCTTTAAAAAAAAAGCCTTATGGGGGCGATGTGGTTTTCTTCAGAAAATTCACAGTACTTCAGGCATGATTCCCACCCATCACTGCTTTGTAGAATGCACAGAGTGGATAGCAGTATCGAGAAAAGTGGGAGTTACTAAAAATACAAGATTCAGCCCTTTCCCGCCTTTCCCTGAAAACCATATGCCTTCTTCACTCAGTCAGAATTAGTCAGGTGCCTGTCTTTTCAATTTGGTATCACATCAGCACATATGTATGAGGGGAAAAATAAAAGAAAAATAACTTTACAAGTGTACAAAAACACACAACTAAACTAACTGGAGCAGGGGTGACAAAGAAGGTGAAGCTAAATTCCCCTAACTAGGTCCTCAGCCCTGGAGGCCAGTTGCTCTGGACTCAGTGGTCCCAGCCCTGTGTGCTCTGCCCCAGGCTGGGGGTGAGGAATCTTTTGGAAACTTCTCTTCATGCTCAACACATCTGCCTGCTTGAGGGCCCCAGGTCTGGGGAAGTGGCGTTGACAGGCTCTTCTTACCTGCCTCAGTATTAGGAGCGTGGTCGTGATGCAGGGAAGCCACGAGCTTGTTGCCCCAGGAGGAGCCCTGTCTTTGTGGCTTTGATCACCTATGAGGCAGCCTTGATGGTAGGAGCTTTTATTTGACTGTTCATTAGAAATTGAGATGCATTTATGAACAGGCATCTCTCACTGCAGGTGAGTGATGGGAACAGATGGACCCCACAGAAATGAAGATTTATTTTTCATGTGACTGTCTTTAGCTGTTAAGTATAAAGGAAACACTAGAGGAAGAGCACATTGGGGAGAACGAGGCTGTGCTTTCTCTCTCTCCTGGACCCCTCCCGCAGGCTGGAGGACATGCTGAGTGCAGGGGCTGCCTTGCCTGCTGATTTCTGTCCTAACTTGTAGAAAGCGGTGTCAAGTCTGGGAACTCCGTGGACTGCAGGGAATAGCACAGACCTAGGGAACTGGCAGGCAATGCTGACTTGCTCTATGACCTTGAATAAAACCCATGTCCCCTCAGGGTCTATGTCTATATATATATTGACTAAGTGGTTGCTAAAGTGACTCCCAGCTCTGAAATCTTATGAGTCTTTTGAACTGGATCTCAATGTCTCTTCATCATTATCACCACTGTCATGTTCTGGGCATTGTACTCAACCTTTCCATACATGATCTCATTTTTTCCACACTTCAACCTTCCCGAGTCTATACTTTGATCACCGTTTCACAGATTAGGATACTCTATCCCAGAGAAGTTACATGACTTGCCCTAGGATTCAGCTAGGAAGAGGCAGAGCCAGGAATTAGAGCCAAGATCCCTTTCATTCTAAAATCCATGGTGCCTGCCTAGAGGAAGTAAATTTCTCTGCCAATAATGGATTTTTTTTTAAAAAATTCATGTATTAATTTATGACAATCTTCTAGTCAATTTTATCTAAAATCACATACATATTATGATATGATTGATCCAGGTACAATTTGCTCCTTTAACAATACCAGTTAGCCTATCTGTAAAAGGAGAATAATGATACTGTTTGTAGCATAATTTGATGAGAAAAGTTAAATTAGATGAAGTACAAAGTGTGTGGAAACTAGCTGACACATTGTTGGCACTAAACAACTCACAGTTCTTTTCTCCCTTCTTGATTCAACATGGCTAAGTCCTAGGAAAGCAGCCATCCCTTTGATGTTGCTGCACTGAGCAATTTCAATTGAGTTTCTGATAATCACTTATTACGATTTGTGAATGAAATGACGTAAGATTGGTAACAAATTCAGTTTGAAATCACATATGGCCTAGACATAGCTCTCAAATCAACGACAAATAATCTTCTGAAAGATTCTATTTATTCACTGAAAGCCTGAAGGGCACAACTAGTATGTGGGAGGAAGCCAGATATGCCAATAAAAGGAACAACTTTCCAACAATTTAAACTGGTCAAAGAATGAACAAGCAGCCTCAGAAGACAGCGAGTCTTCTATCATCTTAAGTCACAGGATAGAAGGAGGTCCTTTGTTGGGTGAGGTTGCATCTGAAGACCTTTAATAGTGAAGACTCTGTGCTTCAGAGAGCCTGTGAATCTGCTAAGATTTAATGGAAGTTATGGAGGAGTCAAATACCTTAGGTTGCATTTCTTATTTTCTCACTCATTTAAATGTGTGTGTGTGTGTGTGTGTGTGTGTGTGTGTAACACCAGCACACCAGGCCCTGGCCTAAGCACCAGGGATATAAGATGAATAAGATATATTCCTTCTCCATGATGAGCTGACAATCTAACAAAGGTGTGACACATGTAAAATAAAAAATGCAATACAATTTGATTGATGTTATATTAGAAGACTGTATAAGGTATCATGGAAAGCACAAGTGGAGGTAATCAGTGCTTTCTCTTTTTGGTTTAATGGCTTATTTTTGATACTTTGGCCTAATCTTTGTGTTTGAACATTTTAATTCAGTCACTAGATTTCTCTGAACCAGTTCTAGATATCTGCTCTGCAGATTGCAATCAAGGGGGGAAATGCTCCTCACCGTTCCCCCAACAGTGGGAAGGAAATTGCCTTCCTACTGTTAACTCTACCTGGAGTTACAATTTGAGATTTAGCAGTGAAGGTAGTGATTGGAGCAATGAGAAAGGGTGAGCTGAATCTGGGATATGAGATAGATGGAGAAGAAAAAACCAAACAATAGGAAATAGTAGAAGCTCACTGGTCTGTGGATATGCTTGGGTTGTTTAGTTTCCTTGGATAGAATCAGAGCATGCACTGGTTGTGAAATGACATAGCTATGGGGATGCAAAGCATAATTCTTAAATTGTGTAACACATTTAAAACAATCTAGAAAGAGCTACCACCACATAACCTGAGAATGTAGCACAAATACTAGTTAGTTCCTGTTCACAGCACACCTTTCGTCACCTCTAGGAACTCTGTATCTTTGTAGCCCTGAGATTTATTATAGAGGATTAGTGACATTCCAAAGTACTCAAATGTTAGAAATTAGGACCCAGAGGTCCTATTTTTAAAAATATCACATTTATCTAGATGGATACTAGTCTATTTCCCTAATATAAGAAGGAGCCCCTTCCAGGTGTGCTGAGAGAAAATGTTCTAATGTAGCTTCCACTGGGGTTACCAGTCATCATTTGATAGAGATGGTGAACCTTTGGACTTCACACTATTTTTCATATTCTGCAAAGCATGGGACATAGACTAGATTAATAACTCACACATAGAAGAAATATGATAATTAGGGCTGCATTTTACAAAAGGCATGCTCAAGCAGAATAAAACCATTGGTTTTGTAGTCACCAGATTTTACCAGCAAGCACAATTTTGTGTTAAAATATTTCAGAGATGAATAGGAGGGGAAAATGACGAACACATTTCACTAATAATAATCTATCCGTGAATAGGTAAAGAGATATGAATTAACTGCTTTTAAATGATTATGGAAGGTGCTTAATTAATATCAACTCTTCCAATCTCTTCTTGTAGTGATTAGAGTTAAGAGACAATAAAAGTACATTTAACGAAGTGTGTGACTAGAGGGTAAGTAAGGAGCAAATCCCAGTAGTGTTGATAGGTCATATGTTCCAGTTTCATGTGTGAAGTTGAAAGGTTCTATTTGGTATTCAAACTGACTTAAATTTTTTTTGTGTGTTTGCTATTACATAAGTGATTAGGACAAGTAAGCAAACAAAAAAAGAGTAGAATAAAAATCACCACCAGAGGTCACCATTGCAAACATTATTCCCCATGATTTAAGTCACAAACTAGCTGTAGGGTGAGGTGAGTCCCAGACAATAGAAATCTTTTACCTTATTTTTAAAGTACTCAGAGACTTTGAAGTTAGGAAGCTATGAGTGCTGTCCATTGTGTAGATGAAGGGATGACAATATAAGGTCATGTGATATGAAAATGAACAACAGTCCGAATAGAGGCCCAGGTTGTTCCCCTTTCACAGGACTGATGTGACTCCCACATGCAAAGGTTTTCTTTTTGGGAGTCATATAGGTTATACTTCCATGAGGAATATGTCAAAGGGTAGCCATAATGATAAAGGGTATTCTCTTTATATATCACAAAATAAAGAAAATACCTGTATCTTCAAAGCAATAGCTATATGCTTTATAAATATTTCTGATAGTCATGTTCCCCTAATTGTTGAATATCCTTTTTGGTGAGGTAGAGTCAGTTAACTCTGAGTTTTCTAACTCTTGCTTATTACTATAATGATGCCCTGCGGGTTAGAAGGATGTAAAGCCTTTAAAAGTTGCCCTTAAAAAGAGTGGGTTTTATATAAGCAAGAGGGGGAAAGAGTGGTTTCTGAAATTGTTGGTCTCAAAATTTTCCCCCCAGCCATTGATAATTGAGGTTGTTTTGTTGAAGTAAGCAAGGTCTTTTGACATTGATTTTACTTAAAAACTCCATGATCAAAAATGTGGTTAGAAAGGGGATTTTGCAGACTGATAATTTCATTTGTGAATCTATTGACACTCATCCATGAGATTATCATCATAACCACCCACATCAGCTATAGTAAGTGCCAGCCCCACACTGGTCACCCTGCCTGGTGGGAAATGCTTTAAGGACTGGAAGAAG